TTGGCATTTGATATCTTTGGGGAATGGTGCTATTTCCCTTAGTACAGTGGGAACATTACCTAATAAATGGAATTGAGAATCCAAGTGTTATAAAACCTGAGCTAAAAGGATTTCCATTCATCAAGATGTTTTAGGAATATGACTCCCAAAAGCAGGGATTCTTGACTGTTCCCTGGGTCTGTGACATGCAACACAGAAACGGACAAAATGATGTATGCTCTTCCCAGACCTCCCTCGTTCCATTGCGAATGCCTTAACAGCCTAATGGGATTTTCAGAAAGTCAAGACCACAGACTCATAGGGGAAAACACACCCATTCAAAACTAACCATTTTAATTGTTGAAAAAGCAGGAAAAGAAGAGAAAAAAAGAAAAATGCCCCCATCTGCCTAGTGAGGGCTTGTAAATCAATGCCAATAGCTTGAAAATAGATTTCTCAAACTTATATTCTCATTTTGTCCTGCTCGAATCTCTGCAGGAAAATCAATATTACAACTTCACACTTAAGACATTTTGCAGCAAGGCAAGCTGCCTCGGCTGCTGATGGAAGCCCGTTCCTGGCCCATTGTAGCGAAGGCGCCAAGCCATGACACGGGCACCGAGCTCCCCCTAGCTGCCAAGTGGCACCAGGCGCGGCTCGGCGTTTCAGGCTTGCCATCAACCAAAAGCCAATTCAACTGAAAGTTTATTTTGGAAAGTATTTTATCACAACAAGCAACAGAGAATGCAAAGCGATCAAGGAAGGAGATGAAAAGGAAAAAGGGAAGGCCTGGTGCAAGACGTGTTCTAAGCTAAAAGACAGCGCCAAGAGCTTGAGACTGATAAGGCGCTAGAAACTGGTGCTCTCTACAGTCGGAAGCTGATATCTGTAAACGAACTGTTCCGCATGCTTCCATCTCACCTGAGACATACCGCTAATTACTGTCAGATGCACCCAAAGCTGGCCTTTCTCTTCAGTCGGTGAGACCCCTGGAGTCCTGCACCGTGGTCAGCAAAGCGCCACACCCAGCCATCTGACCTCAGCCTCCCCCCATGTTCCTAAGGCCGGCTTCACCAAAGTAACTGCATTCACTCTAGCACTTGAGAAATGACTCGGTTTTCTTGTACAAAACATTCTGGAGGCCACACAAAAAATCGCCAAGGCCAAGGCATAGGGAAATAGCAAGCTCCCACCCTCAAAGAAAGGAATATACATATGTACATAATATTCAGGGAGGGAAAGAATACCCTTTAAAAATATTAAGGGTTGTTAAAATACGCTCACGGCTGTTTTTCTCTCAGGTGTGAATTACAAATGAATAAAATCAGCCTGGCATAACACCTTTGATGAACACATTTTTATTCTCCCGTGGAATCAGAGCAGCTGACTTATATCACACTTCTAATGATATGGGGTTCCCTTCTGTGCAGAAGGGAGACAAACTTCACTCTCCCCCCAACTACCCCCCCAAAAAGAGGGGCCCATGTCTTATGAAATTTATCGGAGGCCCAATCTTGAAATATTGTGGACAACTGGAGATACACTATACCCCAGAGAGTTAAGGTCATTGTGAACCCAGCCGCCTCCAAAACACACAGCTATATAGCAAAACCCAATTTAAAAGGCAACCGTGAAATTAACACAGTTAGCCTAACTTCCGTGTCAAACCTTGGGTCTCTAGTTGTTTTGCAAAATTGTGAATTCGTACAGAAAATTACTGATCTTCCAAGGAAACCTGTTGGTAGGTTGTTGAAAAAAATCACCTTTGCTAGGGTTGTATAATTTACCAGGGACATCTTAGTTTCTTCGGAAAGCCTCAGAGCTCCTTCGTGGACCAGACTTCATTTCAATTTCCCCTACTCTCCCTGTCTGGCACTGCGGGCTCAGCGCCCTTCCCTCTGCCTGGTCAGCCACTGCCCCTCTTCCTCCCTCCTCACTATTGTCACTGTTGTCTTGTGTTTGTTTTTATTAATAGCTGTGTCTGTCGTCCTCCCATTCTAAAAGCCATATCCATCTGGGTCAAACATTTTGAAACAAACCAGAAGCCCAGGTTTTCATCCCCAGCTGTCTCCCACCCTGTTTTATACTTCTCTTCTCTCTGGCCCTGTCTGTACATTTAACAAGGCTCACTATAGAGCTCTTCTCTAATGTCCCCCACCCCAAGATTGTTTGCTGTTTGTGTGCTCTTCCTGTCTCCCAGACCAGCAGTCATCCTAAGTTACATTGTCTCTAAAGAACCAGGGGCTGCCACCCCACCGAAGCTGCACCACACTTTGGGTAGTTTCTTTCGCATTTAAAATCTAGAATGTGAACCCCGGGGTCAGGGCTGTGATAGCACTCGTTTTTTGCTGGCCAGGGCTCCAGAGCACCCTAAAGCCACGACTCCTGCATCCCTGTGGAGAGGCACTTCCACGGGCCATGCAGCCTCAACTGCAGCCAGTTCTTGCCATCCCCCTGCCCGCACTCCTACCTCCCAGGCGACACAGGACAGACAGAGAAGCCAGCTGCTTTTTTATAATAAATAGCCTTGTCTGAAAACTGGTTGGACCACTCTCCCTGCTTGACCCCCTGCACATGCCCTGGGCTCCATGTGCCCCTGAAAGGCAGGCGAGATTTCCTCTGCCCCTGCCTCCTCCTCTGCCTCCAACCTCCTCACCTCTTCTCCTTTGCCTCTCTCTTCTCCCTCCCTCCCTGCTCCAGGGGCAGCGGCTTTTCCCCAGCACCGTTCCGAGCAAGGCTGAGCGACAGAGGGGACAAATGAAGGATGGAAGGATGTTGCACCAGGCACGCCTTGTCCCCCACAACCAGCTGCCACCAGTCCTTCTGGCCAGGGCTTTCTCTTGATGTCCCAGGAATGCCAGAGGGGGAGAGAGCAAAAGCAAAGCAACCCTACCTGCTTCTTCCCCGCCCCCCCCCCCCCCCACACAACTGCAAACACCCCGGGCTCCTTTCCCCGCTTCCAGCTTGGCAATGCAGCCCTGACAACTCCCCCTTCCCCACCCCCCCCAACTTCCCCCTCCTCAAAAACAACCCTGGCAATTATACAGAGACTATGAGGGGCAAACTGCCTCCCAGAGAAACTAACCTCTGCAAATATAGACATTGTAACAACCAGTACACCATCTAAAGGGGGTGGGGGTGTGGAGGGCTAAGGGACGGCTTCGGCTTGGTAAAGGATGAAATGTCAACGGGCCAAAAGGACCTTGATCAAACCAGGCTCAAATCTGGTTGTAAAACATTTTGTTTAAAAGGCAACCAGTGAGTCTTCTTTGATGTTACAATGGCGAAAAATAAAAGAGAAGTTCTCTTCCCTCCCTCCAAAAACGCATCCCTCTCCCTAGGCGAAGCCCACTTTAAAATCTATTCCCTTCCCCAAAAAACAATAATAAATCCACAAATTCTTACTAATGTATCTGCTGCAACAAAGGAGAGGTGGCAGCGGCAATGCTCCGAGCAGATGGCTCCTATGCTGGGTGTTCAGGGGAGGGGAGAGCCCCTTTATATATTTATTTATTTATTTAAATTTTTTAAAATATAACATAAATATTCGGCTCTCGGCCGCCCCACAGCCAGTCCTAGGCTGCGGCTGGGCGCGCAGCCCTCTCCAGCTCCGCGCGGGCTGCCCGGCCCCAGCCCGACGAGGCGCTTGGAGGACTGCAGGAACACAACCTGCCCACGGTCTCGATGGCACCCAGAGGATGTTTTATTACTATTGCAATTAAAAAGAAAAAAAAAAAAGCAACGGCGACCTAGGCACCGCGAGAGAAAGGACCACGGGGAGATGTTCGCGCGCCGAGAAGCAGCGGCCCCGCGGGCTGCGCCGGGCAGGGAGCGCGCTGCGAGCCGACCTTCCCGTGCAACTGTGCGGGTACTCGGGGCGAGCTCCCCTGCAAACACCGTACCTGGCCGGCTCGCGCTTGCTTTTTCCCTTTTCTAAATAAACCCAACTCGGGCGCTGGAAGCTGCTGAGTCTCTGCCCCGCTGCCTGACTTTGCCTGCCCGGCCACTTGCTTGAAATCCACACGATTTCAGCCGGTGGATTTCCACTGCGACCTGCCTTGTTTATTTAGAGAAGGAAGATGAAAGATACGGAGATAGAAAGATGGGTAGGAGATTGATAGGTCTCTCTCCTTTTTTTTTTTCTTTCTTCTTTCTTCTTTTTATTTTTTCCCTCTATTTTACAAGCACATCCCTGTCTTCCTAATCCTAGCTGACAATCCTTCTTTTTCCCCGTGGCGGGGCTTTTTCATCAGCCCCCAACCCCCCACCTTTTTTTTTTTTTTTTTTTTTTTTTTTTTTAGAGTGGGGGATAGAAGACAAGATCATCCCAGGAGACAGACGGAGGTGGGGAAATGGGGGTGGGGGCATGAGCCCAGCAAACAGCCGCGCAGCTGGATTCTTTTGCAAATAGCAGGAGGAGAGGAGAGAAAGGCGGCGGCAGAATCCTAGGACCGGCGTGGTCGGCGCCCTGCCCGGGCGGGTGCAGCGACCGGGGACCCGGAGCCGGCGGCCGCCACTCGCCCCGCGTCTCTCCTAGGCCGGAGCGCACCCCGCTCTCCTCCGCCCGCGCCGTCAGCGCGGACCCACGCGCTCGCCAACTTTTCCCCACTTCCCGGCTCCCCCCTCCCCCTCCACTCCCCCAGCCCCCTCCCCCTCCTCTCCAAACCCCGCCACCAGCGCCGCCGCCGCCACACACGCCGCTCGGAGGGGCGAGCGTCCAGCCGGGCTCCGCGTGCACACACACCTCCTCCAGCCTGCGCGCCCCCTCCCCGGCCCGGAACCCGCTCCGCAGGCCCTCGAACCCGAAGCGCGTCTGAGTGCGCACCGCTCCGACTCCCAGGGCTGCAAAGAAACTTTCCTATGCCCCCCCAGCCCCCCCCTCCGTCCCATACTCTGGGCCGCCGCCGCTGCCTCTGCGAGTCCGCGGGCGGCCCCGGCGCTCGGCCCGGCTCTGTGTACCCAGCCCCGGGCACCCGGAGCCCCATCCTCCGGCCCCTGGTGCGCACGCCGCAGACACTTACGGGTGATGAGCTCCCTCTGGGACAAGTGCTGCGGGTTGCCCTGTTTGCGGCGGGACATTGCCCCGGCATCTATTCTGGCATCGCCCGGAGAGCTGCACTGATGGGGGGAGCCGGGGGAGGGGGTCCGAGCCGCCGCCGCTGCCGCTGCCTCCGCCGCCGCGCCTCCTCGCCTCCTCTTCTGCCTGGGTTGGTGTTTTGTTTTTTTTTACCCCCTTCCTCTCTTGCCCTCTCTTCCTCCTCTTCTTCTTCTGTATTTTGCTCTTTCTTCTATGCTGTTTTTTGCTTTGTTTGCAAAAAGAAAAAGAGAAGGAAAAAAAGGAAAGAAAAATCTCTCGATCTAAAATAGGAGAAAGAGGCAAAAAAAAAAATCTGCTGTTGCTTGCCGCGGACTGGCTGGTTTCTTTAAAAATATATTCTTTTGAAGGAAAAAATTCGCTTACACTTCTTCAAACTGCTTGGCCTCCTGGACTTCCAAATGTCTTCTTGAACTTAACCGGATTTTGCACCGGCTCCTGACACTTTCTTTCAGGCTCTGGTAGGTGGAAAGCGCACTTCTACCAGGAGGGGGGGTGGGGGAGAAAAAAATGCAAACAAATAAAAAAAAAAGAAGAAGAAAAAGAAAAAAAAAGCAAAGAAAACTTGGGGACTTGTCTCGTACCCCCTCACCCCGCCCCCTCAAAAAACCCAAAGCAATGTAAAACTGCCCCGGTTCGGTTGTTTCTGGGCTTTCTGCGGGCTGCCTGTTTTTTTCTCGGAGACTGACCCTTCCGAGGCTCTGGGGGGACTCCAGGAGCGGCTCCTTCCCAGTTCACCTGGCAGGCTGGCGCCGGCCGGAGAAGCTGCCGGCTCCCCGCGAGCGCTCCCCAGCGCTCCCCTGGCGCCGCGGGCCCGGGGGGAGCGGGGCTGAGGGGCGGCTCGCCCAGTGCGCCTGGGTCGGTGCGGGCGCGGACTGGGAGCTATAGATTGCAACGTGAAGATGGCGGAGTCCGGGTTCTCTGGGAGCTCTCGGTCTCTCTATGGCTGGGGCTGCCTCTGTACAATGGGATAAAATTCAAGTTCAAGTGCGGACGTGACGTTTAATCTGCACTAGAGACAAAAAGACCCAGAGAGTCGGAGCACTGGGGGCGACTAGCGGTGGCTTTTTAACATTGTACCCTGTAAGAGAACAAGAAAGCACACAGAGACACACTCGCGCGCGCGCGCGCGCGCGCGCACACACACACACACTCGCCCGTGCGCACACCCGCAGTCCAGGCCGGCCACACGTGCAAACAGCGTTTTTGTGCGCTCCTCTTCTCCCTGTGCACTGGCAGCGCAAAAGGGGGGGGGGAGGAGGAGATTTTTAAATAAAAGAAAATCCTCTTCATCCCTCCTCCCCTCCTGGGAGCAGGACCCCCTGAGAAGGGAGGAGGAGAGCTGAGTGCGTGGAAGTAAGTTGAATCAACCCAAGTCCCCACCCACCCATCCAAAAGCTCTTCTGGATTGAAAGGGGGAGGGGCTGTGTAAAAGGATTGGGGTCGACACGGGGACTGGGGGCGATGGCCGGTTTGTTTCTCCTCGCTGGAGGAGTAGCTTGTTTGGTTTTACTTTTGTTTTATTGGGGGGTCGGGGTTAAACTTCCAAAAAGTGCCTCCACAGAAATCTTGATATTACAAACTCTGGGAGAGCCAAGTGGACAAAATAAAAGATACTGAGAGAAGGAAAGAATTAAGAGCACAATCGGGGGAAGGGGAACTTGAGACCTTGTGTGAGTCCCATTCCGGAAGAAATAGTCATCCAAGTCTGTGCGCTCCCCCCATTAACTCCTTGGGATCAAACACGGATCCCGTCCCCGGAGGCCGGGGTCTGTGGGAGGCGTGGGGTAAGGAGACAGGAGTGCTCCGCGTGGGAGAGGGACTTGCACGGGCTGACCCAGAAGTGGGCGTGGTCAGATGTCTGAAGATACTCGTGCGGGGGACTCCCTCAGGTCCCCCAGTCCCCTCTCGCCCCCATGACAATTACTGAAACCTGGAAGTAACGTGCCCCCCCCACACCCCCCCACCTCCAGTGTGCCTCCGCCCAGGGCAGGACTTGAAATCGCCCGTCAGACTGGGAAGGACATAGCTGCCTTGTCAGCCGTTTGATCTCCAGCCGGCGAGGACAAGAGGAGTTGTGGGGGCCTGTCCGTGGCCTGGGGACAAGGCCAGGCCGCAGCCGCGTGGACATCTCCCCCACCCCGCGCCCCGTCCCTCCCCAGGCCGCGGCCAACTTCGTCTGTTTGATGACCTGCCCCATGACTGGGCGCGCTGGACCCCTCTCCCATCTCAGGGTTCCTCTGGTCTGGGCCAGGAGGCGGCCAGGGCGGGTCGGGGCCTGGCTCAGGGCTGGGCTTCGCCGGCGAGCCCAGCTGCACCCACCCCACCCCGCCCCCAGGCCAGGCTCTGGCGGCTTCACTCAAGCGAGTGGCTGGGCGGTGACGCCTCCGGGCGCGCCGCCTCCCTCGGGTCCTTTTCCTTGGGGGACACATGGAGTTTTTGCTCGCCCCCAAGGTCTTGGGTGGGGCGAAGGTACCAACAACTTAGAGCGCAGTGAGAAGAGAAAGAACTCCCTGCCCAAACCAACCCCCCCTTCCAAAATTTAATAACAATAAAATGTGCCCTAGCATGCAATTTTGCGGACAGGGCTGCAGGGTCGGCGTCCGAGGAGGTGGGGACTGGGCAGGGAGGGGTTGGGTAGGAGTCGGCATTCCCCCCACCTCGACTACACACAGCTGCCCACCACCCCCACCCACACCCCACCTCCAAGTGGTCCAAAGTCCAGAAGCACCTCTCCCTCTCCCCATCTAGCCCCACGGTGAAAATCTTTCCAGGAAAGTGGCCTAAGTAAGAAAAAATGCTCACGCGCACCTTTAATAAACTTCTTAAGAAAACCACAAACTGGTCATCCCAACCTGCCCACTCCTAAATTTGGGAGGGCTGTCAGCTCTCTGCCTGAGAACTGGCACTGTGAAGTCCAGAAAGGGCCAGCGTTTTGCCCAAGGTCACACAGCGCCGGGGGCAGGTCTGACTCAAATCGCCGCGGCATGCCTGTTGCCCGGCTCCGCCGGCAGTCCGGCACCCAAAATCCCAACCTGCGACCCCGGGCCTTGGACGTTGATTACAAGGCCTGGGGACCTGGTCTGTGGCCTGGGGGAATGCGACAGCCCCCCTCAAGAAAGGGGGCCCCTCCGCGTACAGCGCAGGACACTCAGGAACTCCGCTGTAGCTCGGGCGGCGGGGTCTGCGGAGGGGGCACCCCTGCCCCACCCCTGGCAGGAAGTAGCGGGCAGGGGGCGGCGCGGGTCGCGACGGACCCGGGGAGCACTTCCTCATTGGCCCCGCGCTGCCCCGACGGCGGGAAGAGGGACGCGCGGGCGGGCCGGCGCAGGGCCGGACACGCCGCCACCCGCCGGCGCGCTCCACCTCGCGGCGGCCGGGGAGAGGCCGCCCTGCCCCTGCCCAGCCCTGCGCTGGCCCCCTCGCCCTCTCCTCCCCCTCCTCCTCCCCCTCCTCCCCTTCCTCCCTTTCCTCCTTCGCCGCCGCCTCCTCCTCCTCCTCCTCCTCGCCCGAGAGGCGGCCGGGTGCAGGCAGCGAGCAATCCCAGCTGCTGCTCCAGTCTCCTTTTTTTCCCTTTGCCCGTCTGGCACGGGCATCATTAGCGCTGAAAGCTGTTAATGTCTGGTCTCACAGCTCCCCCTTTAGTCTTGCTGCGCTCTCTGTCTCGCATTCCACGCCGGATCAATAGCCGCCTCTCCCCCGACCTTAACCTCTCCCTCGACCCCGCCTGGCTTTGGCAGCTGGCCCCCAGTAATATGTCCCCTCTCTTGATGCCCAGACAACAGACAGGCGACGCGGGAACGGGTGGCGGAGGTTGGGCCTTACTCTTTACTCAGGACCCTAGACTGGCAGGGTGTCCAGTACCCTTCTGAGAAGGTCACTGCACACACACACACACACACACACACAGGCGCGCGCGCGCGCGCGCTCCCACCCCACCCCTTGATCTACCAAACCTTTGTATAGAATAAAAGTCACTCCCATCCCCAAAAACAGGGGAAGTGTGTGTGTGTGTGTGTGTGTGTGTGTGTGTGTGTGCAGGTGCTTAACATAGGAAAATATAAAAAGTACAGTACAAATGTGCTCCTGAAGTAATATTACAATACCTCAGACTCATTTCTCCACCACCTGCTGTAGGCCTACTATGTGCCTGGCTCAGAACTGGGGTCTTGTGCAGACTGGAATCAGAAGGAAAGAAATGCCATATTTTCTGCACTATCTAAAAGAAAGAAAAGAAAAAAAGAAACAGCAGATGTCAAAAAGCTTTTTGAACTCACAAATATTTCCCTGCTCTTCTTTTTCTAGCTTCACAGTGCATTCCAGCAGATAATCCCTCATATTCTCAGTGTCTTTAAATTTCTTTATAGAGGAGTAGCTCAGAAATCATAAATCATTTCATCAAATCAGAGTGCATTTTTATTAACCTCGTGTGGGGTTCTGATTCCCTGCGTGTGCTGCGTGTCGCACTCCATGCAGTGGGGACAGATTAAACAGACACGTGACCCCCTAAGCCAGGCTTCTTGTTTGAAATTCTTTGAATGATTCTCAATATTTAGCTCTTAGCTGAGGTGGGGCTCTATTTGAGATCCTACAATGTTATCTTTGCCTTCTGAACGGTTATATTTTATATGTCTTTGCAAAAATCTGGAAAGAACCAAGATAAGTAGTGTCAATAGAAATGGGAACTCCCAATGTTTCTGCAGAAAAAAAATCCACATTTCATTTGTTTTTTTTTTAAACAGGGATCCACCCCTCTAAAATGTAGTCAAATAACTTTGTAGCAATATAAAAACTGAGGAACACATCTTACCAAATTACTTTGGGCTTCATTTCTGGTGCTTAAAAAGAAAAAAAAAATCTGCAAAGGCAAATTTTTTATACTCATAGGTGTAGGGCGAACTCAGAAGCAAACTGCCTGTTAATTTCTGTACCTCAGGATCTATAAACACTATTGACTGTGAAGATGAGGTTAAATAAAATGCACCAATCTGATCAGTGGACTGACTTGTTTTCACTTTTGAGGAAACTGTAATGGAGGTACTAAGCAAATCATGTTAATATGCATATTAATAAGGCTCTCAAGATGGCCCTTATCTTCTTCCTTACACTTCTAGAATCTCTAGGAGCTCTCCAATCCAGAAGCATAAAAAGACGGAAAGAGGCCTTTTGCGCTTCCTGATATATCTTCTACAATTATTTTAAGCCATTTCTGAAAATTATGGCAAATTTCTAAATGCCATAAGGACTCAATTAAGGCTGTGCTGGATTTGGAGGGGTTTTTTGCATTGTCACTTTATAGCAGAGGCAGGACCACAAAACTTGCCTTCTAGCAATTGTTTGGTTGATTCTCTCCATGTAATGACTTTAGCAACACTGCTTTTGTTAAAACATGATTATCATTGCACCTTATTTGTTTCTGCAAGTAACACTTGGGCTTGATACCATGGTAGATTTCTGACTATTGCTTTAAGGACATGAGGCACAGGTAAGTTCTAGGAAAACTAAGAGGCATCATTGCCTGCTGTCTTTATAGCTGCAGCCTGCAGGGGGTTAAACCAAAGTCACTGTTCCTGAATCATGTATTATTTTCCTTAAAAATACTTACCCAACTCTCCGTATATGAAAAAGACTCACACCCACATTGAATGTTCCTAGCTCTGTCCCTGTCATCAGAAATGATATTGAATGGCTCAGTACTAGGGGATCTGGAACTATTTCTACTGCTTTCTCACCTCATTTGGAATTTTCTTGCCTTGCTAATTTTAATTCTGAGTCATCAATTCAAATTTGGTAGGGACTGGCATCACCCAGTTGGTCGACTTGGGAAAAAATATTGTTCACAAAGACGATCAAACTCCATCAAATCCCACCCCCTACCCCCACGTACGCAGAGATAAGAGTGGCTGAGTGTGTGTGTGTGTGTGTGTGTGTGTGTGTGTGTGTTGCACAGAAAGGGTCTCTCTGCTGCTTTTCCTCTAGTCACTGAGTCTACAAATTGTGTAACTGAAAATGCAAAACATACATGTGTGTGCGCACACACATATGCTAGTTTGAATCCAGCGGTCTAGTTACCGTCCATCTACCCTATTTGGGGCATAGACAAGGAAGAGAAAGAGAGTTGAAATGCTTCAGTTGGGGAAAGAACCGGGATCCGGAAGGGAATTTTCAGTTCTGAGTCTGGCTGTCAGCCACTGCCATGAGGACCGGCACTACAGTGAGGTGTCTGGTGATAGGAAACGGGGAGGGGGGAGGGATGGAGGCAATAGTGGGCACCTTCCTAACAAGGGTTTTATGAGGCTGTGAGGATTAATTAGTTTGTATCCTTAAGCAGTTTGAGAAAGAGGAAGTTTCGATGAACGCTAAACTGGAGTCGTAGGTGAGTGTGACTCAGTTGCAAGCTCTGCCCCCACCCCCAAATCCCAGGTTCTGAAAACTCCTGTCTGAGCTGTGATGCTCTCTACAAAGGAAGTGGTGGAAAGGGAAGTGAGGGGGAAGTCCTCGCTTAGGGAAAAACAGAGAAGGGGAGAGAGGCATGAGTCAGGCTAGCATCCCTCTGAAGGCACAGCTAATGATAATGCTGCAAGGGGGCGCTTACCAAAAAATAAAAATAAGAACCAGCCAACACCTTGCTTCAGATATGCCTTCCAGAGCTGGAAAAGAAAAGGGGATCTGGGAGGTCTCATCTGTTGTTTTGTAGTTTCAGAAACAGCCAGGAATGCTTTCGAGTGAATTCAACAAAGGTACTTTGTATCCTAGAAAACACTTAAGTGGCTTCCCCTCTGTTTAATAGAGAAGGGTTCAGGGTGCAAGATGACAAACAAGCCTCTACAATACAAAGTTTGAACTGCAGGCACATAATTGGGGATGGAATAATATATCCAACATACGTGGAAGTTATAAAAGTTGCTTCATTGTGGGCATATTAAAACATTGCATGTGCTTGAAGACGCACTTTCGGCTCAATTTACAAGGCAGACAATTTGCTACAACAAAAGATAATTAATGCCACCCAGGGAAAACCGAGATGCTGGGTTGCTGTGCATTCTGGTATTAGTTTAATCTGAGTCCTTTAAAAAAGATGATTTCACTGTGATTTTAAGCCGCTGGGATCACTGAAACAACAATGGCTTCTAAACTACAGCTGTGGCAGTACCATTTCCCATTTGAACTTGCGACAAAGCTCCTTCCTCCCCTCCCACATGTGTCCTGAAGTGGAACCCGAGACAGGAGCACGGACACCTATCTCTTACCTGTCCCCACTGGGCTGCCATATAAGGAGCACAGATTTACCGTCCATGGTTTTTTGGTTCTGTTTTTTTTTTTTTTTAATCTGAATTTGGACCTCCATATTCATACGGGTAGACTCCTCGGCTGTTGGGATTCAGCACAGGCATCTGCAGTTTCATTATTTGTATCTGCTTAACAGGAACAATTAGAGAACTGAAGAGTGAGGACGCCTGCTTGGGGACCATTTCGGTATTGTACCCAGACCACACATTCCGGCTGGGAAGGAACACAGTAATGCAGAGAGCATTAGTGGATTTAACACTCTTGTGTTGTGTTTGGGGAATCGAATTGTCGATGTTTCTGGCAAGAACTCACACTCCAATTGAAATCTATCAAACACCTTAATTAGCTGTGGGTACCTACAAGCACCCAACCCAGAGGCAAGTTGGAAAGCAGGAGGAGAGGGTTGGCGCTACTTGGAGGAGGCAGCCCAGGGCCCCTCCCTCCATCCCTCCATCCCTCCATCCCCCCCCCCCCCCCCCGGCCCACCAGCCTCGGTTTGCAGACCAGGGTGCACGGGCTGGGATGACTTGGGACAAGCCCAGGCTCTCCCTGAGGCATCCCCAGGGGACCCGGCAGAGGCGGCCTGGACCGTGTGCGGGGTGTTGGCGAACGGGATGGGAAGAGGCCACAGTGACACAGAGCTGTTGCCCACGGTAACTGGAGTCTTTTCCTCAGCCAACCGTTCCACCTGGACCTCAGCACAAATTATTGTTTTCAATTACCACCTGTGTATTCCTTCCCATTCAACTTATTGATGTAAAATTACAGCTACACCGGTATAAATAAGTTATGCTGCAGTTGTAAAATGGAAGAAATTCTGTTGTAGCAATTATGTTCAGCAAGATGACAAAATAAATTTCCAGAGCGGTGCCTGCAGTAACCTGGGGAATTTAAACCTCATAATTTCCATTCATTTCAGATAATTTGGAGTAATTTCTATATGTAATAACTTTGTAATGAAAAACACAGCGGTGCTGAAGTGATTTCGCTCTACTTTTTTCTCTGATGGTATACATGGCACAAAATAAATGATAAAAATAATATTTCCTTTTTATATGTGTGTGTGTTGAGTAATTCCTTCAGCAAAAAAATCATAAACTAATACCCAGACTAAATCTCTGTCCACAAAATGAAAAATAAATTGAGTTAAAGAAAGTGAAAAAGTATGAAAGGCTTTGGATGTTTTATTGTGAGTTTATTGAATTGTCTTACCCCCATGCTCCTTCTGATCTCTAAGGGTTACAGTTCCCAAGTAAGGGGCAGAGGCACGTGGGGCCGCGGGAGACCCCCACAGCTAGGATGGCCGTGCCAGTCGGAGGCCATCTCTCCCCCAGAAGCGCTAAGAGACACGGTCCCCTCCTGAGATGAGCCGGGTTGTGCCTGGCTGCCGCTCCCCACCAAGCTCTTTGACTGCAACTTCCCTGGTAACAAGAAAGGACCTGCTAGGCTGAGCAGTGGTCACAAAGATCCTCCTTTAATGAATGACATGGCACGGGTTCCCTAGCTGCATCAGTGCCCAGCCCGGCCTTTGGTGGTGACATCCACCATGGACGTACGTGGCCCTTGAACAGCCACATAGTCCGGCAGGAGCTCCCGCCAAGTTGTTAGGAGGTGACGAGGCTCACGGTGGCTTCATTAGCCCCAGCACCAAGCCAGCCGCAGCCAGCCCGCCAGCCTCACAGCGCCCATCAAGGGTTTCCTCTGAGTGAAAAATGGACACTGGGGCTGGATGAGGCGTCCCCCATCTAAACCCTGCCTGCCAGGAGTGGCAGCCAGGCCAGTCATCAGGCCCCTCCCCACCAACCAAGAGGGCTGCCTGCTGTGTCGGGTCCCCCCCTCCCGCCCCTGCCCTGCATGCAACCAGGGGCGCAGACCTGGTATCTCAGACCGTGTAAAAGGCGCCCAGTGGCTGCATGGTCTGGGGAGAGAGGAGAGAGTGTTCACTTCCCCACAAGGTGATCTCCCTTGTCACGCGGGGCTTCTGAACACCTGTGGGCTGGCGGTCTAAGCAGCGGTAAGCGGGCCTGGCCCAGGCTGTGATTTCGTCCTTTCAACAGCACACACAGACAGGGCACCTGCTCTGTGCCAGGCACAATGTGGAATACTGGGCCCCAAAGATGGCAGCACTGTATGATGGCTAGTACCCAGGGTTCCTCATTCAGACAAACCTGAATTTGTCTGAATTCAAACCAGACAAATCAGGTTTGTCACCGCTCCCGCTCTGAAAAATATAAAAGGTAAAGCAAAAGTCAATAACATGGTGATAAGACTATTCTAGATCCTAATACAGCCCACCGAAAGTACTCTAGCCTGCGTGCCCCAAGTGACATGGGAGCAAAGGAATAAGGGGCAAAGGTCCTGGTCACAGATGACAGGATTCTCCAAGACCCTCAAGGCCTACTAGGTCAAAGAGAGATGGTCTAATGACACCGTTAGGTGGTTTATCTTATTTTATCCTGGCAAGACAAGGACGTTCATCCCCAGGAAACCCAGGGCCAGCTGCCAAGAGGCAGGGACAGAACGAACCCCAGGCTGTCTCTACGTACAACCACACCAGTCTCCGCCCAGACTCAGTTTACAGCCCCCCTGCAGCGGGCACCAGATGTGGAACTAGAACAGCAAAGGCCGGGTCAATGCAGGATGAAGACACAGAGGACGAAAGAGAAAATTAAAAGAGAAACAAGGTCTACAGTGGGGTCTGTAAGAGAAGCTTTTTTTCTTTTCATTCGGGAAGGCAAAATCCAGAAAAACATGACCACGGCTCTGAAACCAAATAACGGAGGGGGAGAAAAATGGGAGGAAGGACAGATCAAGAAGATCTGGAGATGTTGCGTCCCAAAGAGAACTGACCAGAAGAAAGGGGCTGGTGTAGTGAGTGGGGGTGGAGTAGACAGCGGATCTCCTGGTGAGATTCTGGAACAGACAAGTAACTCACAGAGGTGCAGAGTGTCACGGGGGATGAAGGCCTTCCCCGTCCCTGCTTGCATCTGCCCTTCCAACAACCTTGTGAGCCATGCAGGACAGGGCACAAGCAACTCGATGCACACCTCCACTGAGGTGCTGGTTTGGGTCCCCACAGGGCCCACTGGGAGCTGGAAGACCAAGCAGCCTCTCTTCTTGGCGTCCCGGGTCCTCCTGTACCACATCCGAGACTGTCATGAAGAGTGCATCAGATCATCCGTCCGCAGGGCCTGGCACATAGTGGGCATTTAATAAATTATATATACTATTAATCTGGAGGCCTTGTACTGGGCTCTGGAGGAGAACCACATCCATCCGAAGTATGGCACACACCTCAGCACTTCATCTCAGGCACGAAAAGAGTAATTTGCCCCAGGTTTCGCTCATCAATAGATTCAACGAATATTGGTGAAGCTCCCACTATGTGCCAGAGACCCAGCTAACCTCCGGAACTGCCCAGAGGAAAACATGACACTCTTTATCGGCCAGTAGGTTGCCACAGATCAACTGGGCCCTGACCTCCACACAGACAGCCAGGGCGTGCCTCTTCTCCCCTGCTTGTCGTGAGCACATAGTAGGTCATCAATGGGTGAGCCAGCTAGACCTCACTACAAGACTAATACCTCTGCAAATTGGCATGGGGGCTGAAAAAGCCGAGCCCACAGAACAGAGGCTGGGAGGAAGCCTCTCAGTACGTTAATGGGTGTCGCTTGAGAAACGGGGATCACAGAGCCACCAGTCATTCCCTCCTCATAGTCTCGAAATTCCCCAGAATCAGCACTGGTGCCTTTTATGGTCAGCCCCCCAAAAGTTAAAAAAAAAAACTTGCAGCAGCAGTGCTTTGGGGGTGGGAAACCTCCTATGGAAAAAAAGATTGGAAGGAGATACAGGAATGGCGGCGCTACTGTGTTAGGATCATGGGATTAGAAGGGCTTTTAGAAGAACTTCATTTCCTAAACCTTCTAAAATGTCATTAAAGACTCGCCATATGTTTTTTTATAAAGGTTTGTGAAAGAATCAAAGAAGCTGGCACTGGGCTGTGAAGAGCTCCATCGGGGCATCTGAGATGCATGCAATCACAGGAGGACCCTGTGCTCGCACGGGGTTGTCCTGGGTGCAGGGAGACTGTCAGACAAGGCTGGATGAGAACCTTTACGAGAAGCTGCTTTGTTTTTCCCTCATTTCCAGCATCTGAAACTGCTCTTTGAGCTAAGATTTTCTAATGTCCACAGGGGCTGATTTTAAATGCCACCCCCCCACCCCACCCGCCAGCGATGCGGAGCTCATGTTCCTGGTCCAGGTGGAGCTCAGGCTTCCACCCCGCAGCATCAGCCCTGGACTCGGAAAGCAGCCTGGCTGGGCTCTGTGCTGGGTGCACGCTAAGTGTGGGGTACTTTTAGACACTCACAATGAAGAATGTCCTCTTGAAGCTTCCCCCTCCTTCCCACCTTCTGTCATCCGGGGAGATAATTCATTTATGCAGCTTTCACAGAAGACTGACATTTTCGACTTTTTTAGCAGAATAAATTTATAAGGTAAATTAGGGGGTGGGAGCCCTAGTGTCCTAGGCAGATTCAAACTGGTAATTACAGAGGGCCTAATTATGTATTCACCACAGAGCCTTCTGGAACAGGGAAGTCTATAGGATGGCTCTTATTCTTCCTGCAGAGGACATTAGCCCCTGGAACTTTCACAACTGATGTCTGAGATGCTTTTGCTTCCAGCCCTGAGCAGTCGTGGGGAAGTACGCTTGTCATCAGCACTGCAGCCCTGATTATTTGTAGAGAATATCCTAACCCTAGTCAGGGCACCCAGATTTTCCCCAACAATCATGAGGTCAAATAGTTTTCAGAGCAGAGGTCCTGATTTGGATAAAATAAAACTCGAGAAGGGGGCAGGTTTAAAAAAAAAAATTCTTGCTCTGCCGCATCTTCCCCAAATTCCTTATAGGGTTCTGTATCTACATCTACCAGCCTAAGGTACCCAAACCCCTGTTGTCAGAGCCACCTCCCCTCCTTGGCTGGGAGCTCCTGCAGGGAGGGAAGTATATCTCATACTTCTCAGCCTGGGGTCTGGCCTCCATATAGTCACTGAATGAATGAAAGGCCTGCAAAAGTGCACAATGGCCCTTAGAAGAGAAAGACCCTGGGCCTCAGCAAAGTGGTGAACTGGGTAAAAAGCATTTCTTTCTCATGTATCACAGTGTGCCATGATGTGCGGATGGATATAGAAAGCACGTTTGACATGCAAAGCCTCCTCTCTGTGCCCCGTTCTGCTTCATCTTCCCATTAGCTCTCTGCTCTCAAGCATCTGATTTTCCACTTGGTGAACATAGACTGTGCTCTGTTTTGGGTTGAATTGTGTCCCCCCAAAAATATCTTGAGTCCTAACCCTTGTACCAGTGAATATGACCTTATTTGGAAATAGGGCTTTTGCAGATGTAATTAGTTAAGTTAAGGTGACATCATACTGGATCAGGGTGAACTTAATCCAATGACTGCTATCCTTATAAAAAAAAAAAAAAAAAAGGAGTGGACACACAGACAGACACACACAGGGGGAAAGGTCATATATCCACAGAGACAAGGAATGCCAAAGATGCCCAGCAGCCACCAGAAGCTGGAAGAGGCAAGGAAGCATACGCCCCTAGAGTCTTCAGAGGGAGCACAGCACTGTCAACACCTCGATATCAGACTTCTGGCCTCCAGGACTGGGATATAGTAAATGTCTGTTGTTTTAAGTGCCCCAGTTTGTGATACCTTGGTCACGGCAGCCACAGGAAACTTACAATGCTCCTCTATGAGCACGGCACAAGGGAGCAGAGCTGAAGAGGACCCTACCCTCAGGGGACTCAGAGGCCACAGGCCTTCCCTACAACTCATGTTATATTTGCAAAGAACGTTGGTGAGAATTGTTGACCCTCCTTGTCACCCTCAAAAAAGAGTAGTTAATAACTGGACTATAACTATCTTGAGGCCAAGAGGAAGGCAGACTCATCCTTCCATCCTGAAACCCACTGGTACATCCCAGGCCAACCTCTCGTCCTAGCTCCGTGCTTGGGGCATACTTCAAACTCCAATTATAATGGCCGAAGCTGGGGGAGAGCCACACTTCAGTGGAGGGAATATCCTGGAGCTCAAGTGTCCTTCCAGCAGCCTCAGATCACAGCCCCCAACGAAGCACACTCAAAACAAGCCAGCACCCCTCCGAAACTCTTCTGCCCCTGGAGGTGTTAGCTTGGTGGGTGTTTGGGTTTCATTTTCACTTTGAGGTTTAACAAGCAAAGAATAAAAAAAAAAAAAAACAAGAGAAAACAGGAACCAACTATTTAGTGGTAGCAACTGACCATAACAGTGCTAAGGAAAATGGAATTGGATAAAAGACCCGTCTCGGCTTTTTACTGAAACCATTCTGGATGTAATGAAGGGAGGAACCAGGCTCTCCCCGAACCCCACCACACATCCCTGAAATTATTCAGGCAAATAAAACCAGCCTTGCTCTGGCGTGTGGAAGATCAGAAAGAAGCCTCTTTACCTTCCTCATCCACCTACCCGCTTAAGAAAGCTCAGGCCTGCGGCAGGACTGACTCCGGACGGCTCCGCCGCTTTTGGTCCCGGGTGTGCAGCCATAGGGGAGGCGAGCGCAGAATTCACACTTCTGAGAAGTGCTGGGTTCACGCCCAGACACAGGCATCTGCACCTTTGACCAAATGCACCCGCGGATGGCAAGGTGATATCACTCGGCCCATGGAGGGGGCTGTCTCCCTGTGAGACCGTGAAGCTCCGGAGGGAGCGGAGTCATGGCTCTGGGGTTCCGGACGACAACTGACATCGCCCGGGCCCCTCCCGGGTGCCAGGCACTGGCTGGACGTTTAAATGCACTCCTCCAGCACGCCCACCCCGCCGGTTAGATCCTGCATCCCAGTTTACTACGGAGGGGACACGGAGTTCCGGCGCGCAGTAGAGGCGCGGACCCCACGGCAGCTGTTCCAGGGGCGTAGCCGACTCCTTTCCAGGTCCTCACGTACGCAGGAGAAGCCAGGCTGCGCTACAAAGTAACCTCTAGCTGTAAGACGCCCACAAGTCTTCCCCCCGACGACCGAGGCTTCCACGCAGCCCTCGGGCTGCTCCAGTCACACCTCGGGGCCTCCATGGCCACAGCGAAGGAAGGGGGACCTCGCAGCGTGTCACCCGCTGTTCGCGGCCCCCGCCCACTTCCACTCACAGCCCATTGGCCACAGTCAGTCACGTGACCCCGCCTACCCGCAAGGGAGTCTGGGAGATGTGGATGGGCATCTGGGATACCGGCGGGCTGGCCCTCTCGCGGCCACGGTACCCAGGAACCGCATGCACTTATGTGGCGTGTCCTGACTGAGGGTGAAGGGGGTTGAACTAGGAATTTAGTCATCAGTCAGTTTTCGGGGCAGGAGTATGGCCCCGTGGCAGTGATAACATGCCCGATTTGTGACAAAATTGTACTTCGGCTACTTGTTCTGAGCCAGCTGGGTTTCTTTCCCTCAATCCTCTGGTATTTACTGACGCCACTGTGTCTTCATCCATCTCTTACTGCGCTTGGCCGCATCACACTGAAGAACTCAGGGGCCGTCAGGGTAATACAGAGAGGTCTTAATTTAGGAGAATTAAGTCCTCGCTGTGCAACCTGCTGTCAGGAGCAAAGACACCTGCAGGATTTGGAAGTGACCAGTCAGCTCCTCGGACGAAGAGGCTCCCAGACAGAGCCCCTCGGGCCCAGAAATGTGTCCGTTTGACATGCCACTCAAAAGAGACTTTTGAACTCTAGAAGGTGTGAGGTAGGTGTGTGGGATAATGTAAAACACCCAGGCTGCACTTCGAAACCCTCAAAATAGTGTTTGATGGATGGATTTAGAACAGAGAACTTGTAAGCTGGGAGGAACCGAGAGATGATGCTGTCCACCTACTTCAGGAGAGAGTCTGAGGCCAGGAGAGGAGGCACATGCCCAAAGGGGTGCCTGAGTCCTCCTACGTGGGCCATGATGCCTCTGGTCCCCAGGTCTGTGGCTGCGGCCCCAGCCATTCCCCAAATCTCTCCTAAACCTGTCAATCAGCAAATGAGAAACAAGGTGTTGGGAAACCATAAGACTCTGTCTCCATTAGGCCTGGCAAAGGTTAGGACAACACCAAGTGACAGGGAAATGATGGGTGTGGTGGGAATCTTCAATCATCAAGGAAGGCAAGGGGCAGTTTGGTGCCTCTCTGAAGACTCACTGAGATAATGCCGGGGAAAGTACCAAGCTTAGCGTCTGGGTATGGAAGGTGTCTGATACACATAAATGGAATCCAGAAAAATGACCTATACCAATACCAGTACCAATACCAATACCTGTTCTAAGGAGACAAGGTTGGGGAACTGACTAGGCAGATCATGGAAAAGCCTTCCATGACCCTCCCAAGGGTAGAGACCCCTTTACCTCCTGTTCAAGTCTCAACCCAGCACCACTTCCTCCAGGGAGGTTCCCCTGATTGCTCAGATGATTCAGGCCTCTCTGCAGGGTCTCACTAGACCCTGGACTTCCCCATCATAGTACATCTCACATTGGGCTTTCAATCTCGGTAGACCTGTCTCTGGTTCTGAACTGTATGGGGGCAGGGATGGTGTTTCCTTCACCTCTGAGTCCCCAGAGTGCTATAGCAATGACACACTCTTGGTAGGAGAAAATGGCTCTTGTATTTGTGGCTTTAATTAAAATATGCTGTACTCTCTTCACATCTCTCCCAGGTGCCACTCTGTTTCTCCAAGAAGAGCAAATTCCTGAGAGGAGTTGTCTGTACTTACTTGGTTGAATTACTATCTTCCCATTCCGCCTTGAAGGCACTCTGTTGGCTTTGGCTCTCCAGCTCTGCCCAGCTGCTCTTGTCAAGGTCACCAGTGACTTCCATTGCTAAATCCAATGGTCAGCACTCAGTCCTCACTGTACCAGACCCACTGGCTATAGTAAGGCTGACCTCTCCCTCCTCTCCAGTGGGCTTCAGGGAAGCCATATGCCCCTGGTTGTTTCTTCCTATCTTACTGGTCAGCAGTCTCTTTCCTGGTCCCTCCTCATCTCTCAACCTCTGGACATAGGACAACCCCAGAATCATCCCTTACACCTCTTCTCAATTTACACTCACCCCCCTTGGTGACATCCACCTGTCCAATGGCTTTAAATACTATCCACATGACAATCACTCCCTAATTTATGTCCCTACCCGCTGAACTCTTCTTGCATGTATCAACCACCTGCTCTAACTCCTCACTGGGTGCCTAATAATAAACTAATAATACCTCTCCAAGACCAAGTTCTGAACTCTCTCCTTCAAACCTGCCCCTCCTGCAATATTCCCTAACTCAGTAAATGGTCATTGCTCAGGCCCAAACCCTCAGAGTCTTCCTTGTCCTTTTTGTTTGTCCCACACCCAACAACCAATCCATCAGTGCATCCCACTGGTTCTGCATCAAAAGGCTTTCCAGATATGCCAATTCCTACTACCTGCACAGCCATCTACCTGGACCACGGGCCTCCAATCTGGTCTTTCTCTCTCTCTCCTTGAGTCTATTCTCAGTAGTCAGTCTGACTTTTGAAACATAAGTCAAATCACAACACTCTTCTGCTTGAAACCCTCAATTGCTCAGAATAAAAACCAATGACCCTACAATGGCTTAGATGGTCTTAAGCTGTCTGGGCTCCATTACCTTGCTGACTTCATCACCATCATCCCCCTCTCCCCACTCTCACTCTTGCTCTCCGCTGGCCTGCTCATTGTTCTTCAGCACGCCAGGTACGTGCATGCTTCGGGGACTTTGCACCTTCTGTTTTCTCCCTCTGGTATAATTTTTTAAAACTTTATTTATTTGAAATCAAGAGCAAGAGAGAGAGCACAAGTGGCAGGAAGGAGCAGAGGGAGAGGGAGAAGTAGGCTCCCTGGGACTCGATCCCAGAACCCTGAGATTATGACCTGAGCCAAAGGCAGATGCTTAACCAACTGAGCCACGCAGGCGCCCCTCTGGTATATTTTTCCCAGTCATCTTCATGGTGTGCTTCTTCTCCTCCTTCAGGTGGCTGCTCATATATTGCTTTCTCAGACAGCCTCTCCTGGACCAGCCTATTTTGCTTTAAAACACCAACAATTTAGATTAAATGGACAAATTCCCTGAAAAACACAACTAATAAAATGTGACATAAGAAGAAACAGAAAATTTTAGCAGTCATGTCTGTTAAACATTGAATCTGTAATTTAAAACCTTCCTCCCCTCCTACCTCTTTCCTCACCTTTCCCCAACAAAACAAACGGGGAAAAAAAAGACCCACATGATTTCACCGGCAATTTCTTCCAAATGTTTAAGAAAGAAATAACACCAATTTTATACAATTATTTTCCAAAAGTAGAGAAAGAGGGAACACTTCCTAACCCCTTTTATTAGGACAAATAATAGTAACACCAAAACCTGACAAGGATGCCACCAGAAAAGAAAGTTACAGACCTTTATCCCTTATCAACACAGATGTGAAAATCTTAAACAAATTATTAGAAAATTTAATACCATAGTGTATTAAAAGAATGATGTGTCCTGATCAAGTGGGGTTTATTCTTGGAATCTATGGTTGATTTATTATTCAGCAATTGATGTACTGATGTGGAGTGATTTCTAGGATGTAGTATTAAGTGAAAATGCAAGCATACTATAGTATACTATATTTAGTGTAAGAGAAAAGGAGAAATAAGGAAATATGCACACATCTGCTCATAGGAACAAAGAGAAACAAGACAGAAACCAAGGACTAGTGAGGTTGGTTACTGTATCAGTTTGCTGGGGCTGCCATCACAAAGTATCACAGACTGGGGGATGAGAGAGCAGAAATTTATTTCTTCACAGTAAGGAGGTTGGAAGTCCAAGATCAAGGTGTTGGTGGGGTCGGTTTCTTCTGAGGCCCCTCTTCTTGGCTTGTAGATGGCCATCTTTCCTCTGTGCTTATCTGTGTCCTAATCTCCTCTTCTAAAAGGAACCAGCCCACGCGTATGACCTCACTTAACCTTAATTACTTCTTTAAAGACCCTGTCTCCAAATACAGTCACATTCTGAGGTGCCAGGGGTTAAAGCTTCACCACACAGACTTCCGAGCTACACATTCAGTCTGTAACAGCTACGTGCAGGGCTTGGGCACAATCGCAGTGGGAAGAATAGAGAAGATGGGAGACAGTGGAATTTACTTTTCTGACTATAATATTTTGTATAATCCTGACCATGTTAATGTTTCTTTCAAAAAAAGAAAAGAAAATGAACAAGGAAGGGGACTTAAATGAGAATACAAACAGAATACAGAGTGATACTTCAAACAGAGGACATAACTGTACTGAAAGGACTAAGTAACTGTTGAACCCAATATTTGCATTATATGCCCTCAGACAATAGAAAATAAGAACTTTAAACAAATACTGAATTCTAATTAGTATTCTTCCTTTTTGCAAAGGAATGGGTTATCAATTCTGAAACTACTCTTCGCACATTCCAGAATAGAACAGATAAGTAAATATATTGATAATGGGAGCCAGGCTGTTCACTGTCAAGAAAGGAATTGCAAATACAGAGAGGGGGAAATATAAAATGGACCATGAAGCATTGTTTGGATTTGGAGTTATTAATGTGAACTCATAGTTTTAATATACATAGATAGCTAGATATAGAAATAAATATAAATGTGTATGGCTGCATATATGAGTGTGTGTACATGTGTGTGCATGAAATTCCCCAGCTCTGTGTGCTAACAGAGCTGAGTAGCAATCAGCATATGTATAGACAAAATCTCAGTTTATAAATACTCCAATCTCCACTAAAAGGAATCAATGGCTGATTCCAGGGCTGGAGCAGGGAAAGTATGAGAAGAGCTTGAATATCTTCTTGTGGCAAAAAGTAAAGAAGTACCCCAAACTGATGGAAATATGTGAAAATCAGAGAGCCAGATGGAGGGGGGCTTTCACTGGACCAATTTGAAACAAAGCATCAAAATAAATAATGACAACAAGGATGATAACCTGCAGAATGAGGTAGGAATCTATGAGGTCATTCTGACTCATAAAATAAAAAATAAATACATGAGAAGTAAAACTCTTCCTTACAGTAGAAAGCCAGTGAAGAAAAGTAGAAGGAATGACATAATTAGAAAATCACCATCTGGTAATAATAATGATGATGATAAGAACACTAATAAATAATTCCACCTGGAGTTATCAATGGATGCCAAAACTAGTGGATAAAAGTTTGAGAAATAACAAGATATTTACATAGTCTCAAAGGGTCTTCCCATGATACTTTTTAATTACAAAAGATAAAAAAGTAACTACACTGGAGAAGCCTGGCAGACACCATCTTAACCAAATGATTAAAGTTCACATTGCCACCAATACAATTAAATGGCAATATATGCCTCCTGATATGATGCATGAGGACATATCCCTTCTGTGATTTTCCCACCAAAAGTTCCTAACCTGAATCTGAATATGAGGAGTCATCAACAAACCCATCCTACAAAATAACTGGCTTGCGCTCTTCAAATGTGTCAGCATCATGGAACAGAAGACTGAAGAGGCATGACAAATGGGTAGAGTGGGTGACCTTGGGTGTTCTTCTAGCATAAAGGACATCATTGGGACAATCGATGAAATCCAAATAAGGACGACAATTTATAATAGTTTTGTACCAATATTGGTTCCCTGATTTTGATGATTGGACTGTAGTTAGGTAAGAGAAATCTTTGTTTTTAGGAAGTACAGACCCTGAAATATTCAGAGGTAAAGTAGCATAATATCTACATTTTATTCTTAAATAGTTCATGAGAGAGAAAGAGCGGAAGGAGAGAGAAAGAAATAGGCAGAAAAAAAGAGAAAGGGTGAGAAGAAGTAAATGTAGCAGAATATTAGCATGTGGATAGTCTGGATGAAGTGTCTAAAAAATATTTGTACTATTCTTGCAACTTTTCTGTAAGTCTAAAATAATATCAAGTAATTAATTCGTGAATGCAGTAAATTACAAACCATTCCTATCACTTCCTATCTCCTTC